ATGCCAAGGAGGCTTGTGCATGGCTTGGGTATACCTATCTTTTTATCAGGATGGGGTTGAATCCTCCTGCATATGGCATTGAGTGGAATGAGGCGTTTTATGCTTGATTTCACATGAGTTCTTGATACACAGCGCTGCTGGCCATCTCAATTTGGAATATTGCAAAGCCGTACTGGATCTTCAAATCTGGCCCCATCAACATCCTTTCAGATAATTTGACAAGGATATCTCACCAGAAGTCCTATAACCAGGACTGGTTAGGCAATATTTAGGATTTAGGATATTTCCCATGGATCCAGTTATTTTCAACCGTAAGTCCTATAACCAGGACTGTCCTAAAGATAACAATATGCTGAAAATTTCTTTTTATTTCTGAAAAAAGGGAAAGATGTCTGGAATTAAAGATTTCTCATTTAGCCTAGGGTTAGTTATGAAGTAACTTTCTCTTTGCGGGTGGATTTGCTTATAACTCCAGACTTTATATGAAAAGGTCGTTTTCATGGTTCTGCACAGCGTTGGTGGATACTTGTCAAGGTGCTGGTTTCTGAACCTTATCTTGATCGTTAACTTCCTATTTTCTATTGCCGGTCGTTTTCAGCTAACAATTGAAATTTTTTTGTTGCATGGTTAGCACTGTTATTTTTCCTTGATTTATGGCTTTGTGCTTTTACTTCCTTTTTGTGAGTGTGATCGTTCTCACATTGAACCATTTAATTTTTCTTATTTTGACCTGTGCTGTGGCACTGGATGCAGTGTAGAACAGCTTACTTGATGTGACCTTTTAAACAGCACTCTGACAATGACCATATCTACCACTCAGAACTGTTCACTTTGATAAGGTGGATGTCTAGAGGGGAACCTAAAAAACTTTACTTTATGGTGCCAATTTTCGAACCACATCCTCCACAATACTACATTCATGTTGTCTCTGATTCTTGGCAGCATTCAGAGTCTTTCTACACCATTTCACTCCAAAATCTAACACTCCCTGACGTATGTATTCTTCAGGGTGTACCTTATTTAATGATAGTTGAAACAATTTGATTGAACCTTATCCATTTGTGATCTCTTAGTAATGGTTTGTCTAATATAAATATGGTGCTTCAATCAGGTTCGTACTAAAAATACAGAGCTTCTAGATTTGAAACCTCTGCCTGTAAATCCTAGTACAAATTTTCTCATTTTAATCCCATACAAACACGGATTTGGTTCAGTCTAGTTACTGAAGCTTGGTTGTTGATGCTTCTGGGTTTTAGCCATCCATGTTTTTAGAATTTGTAATTTATTTCTTTCACTTGGATATGCTGCAGATCATTCATGTCCTGTATCACACAGATAATAACTTTCTCCTGGGAGCACCAACAGGAAGTGGGAAAACCATATCTGCTGAGCTTGCTATGCTGCGCCATTTCAATACTCTGCCTGATATGAAGGTATAAAGAAGTCAGAATATAAACATTTAATGGTTAAATGATGAGGTCACAAGGATTCTTAGACAAGACCATCTGAAACAATATGATTATGCCCTGGACATAAGCCTATCATGAAGCTAAAGTATTCTTAGGTATTTATGAGATTGTTATAACCACGGTAATCAATTTGGCCTTATTGTCAACTAATTACATACATATGCCACATTGTTTGACATACCCCAGTGGTTAAACTAGGTTTATCCATTTTCAAGTAATTATGTATTCTTCTGTTAAATATGGTTAGTTTCTTGAATTTGTTTGGTCCACTCTCAAACTTCTGGTATCAAACCTTATCGCCAGCCTGTTGCCCTTTTTAAGATGTTTCAAGTACTAATTGCACTTACTGAGTGGAGGTTATTTACATAGCTCTTGTGAAGGCTATTGTACGGAAACGAATGAATGATTGGAGAAAGCATCTTCTTTCTCAGCTTGGGAAAGACATGGTGATGATAAAACAGAGTGGAAGTCAATGAAAAAATAATGAAAGCATAAAGATGATTTTTTATAGTATGATAAGTCATACAAGTTATACAATAGAAGTGTTTCTTCAAAAATCTTCAAATAGCTTCACACTAGGCAAATCTAGATGCAATTGTGTCACTTTTCTAAAACACAAGAAAAAGGATTTTTCCAATAACTCTCTTTTTTCATGCGGTTGACATCCAATAGGATGGCTGGAAGAACATTAATTTAAGATTGAGTTTTGCACCTTCAGACGATTTACAAGAGAAAGTGATGCTCTCCTGTAGAATGAGTTACTAATTTCCCTTGGACAATCCTAAAGACTTTACTAATACTGTAAATTTAAAGTTAATAGATTATAAATATACTAAATGAAATGCAAACTAAAGTAGACTAGCAAAAGATGAACACATCTTAATTAAAACTATCATGTTTAGAGCAAGATTAGCCTATATCTATAAACAAATTTGCAAATCAAACTACCACATAATTAGAAATTTAAAACTACTTAATCATAAAATATGTATGAATAAAGATTAAACTAACATGAAAAAAAGAAGAAGAAAAAAGCATAAACACCCATAAGTAATCATTTTATAAAACACTACTTACCATAAACTTAAAAGAGACAATGATCAAAAAAGAAATAGTACCTTGTAAAAATTAAAATACTTGTTGTTCATTACATGAAATGTAGTTGTAAAAGCAAATATATAAACTAATTTAGCTATTTGAATATTGGAAACAACTTAGAATCTACAAAGTATTGTGCTGAAAGATGAAATCTATAAGCTAAAACAAGTAGTTGCTAACAAAATCTGAGAATGTTAAAACTGGTTCTAAGTTGTCTGTAGGGCTGGTCGTGTGTTAAATAATTTGAAACTATCTTTTTCATTCGTTTTCTACAAACTATCCTCTCACTTCACTTGCTAACTGTTACAAAACATAGATAGTTTCTCTAAAAAAAAAAATGGACACATTAGCGGGATCAAGTCAAGGTTGCATTAGATCTTGCCACTTGTACCATTCTATTGCTACCTCAACCCCTTAACTGCACTTCCTCCTAAATTATAGGAGTTTTTGTTTCTTTTCAATTTAAACTGCAACTAATTAGATAGTAATCACCGCTCCCCAAAATCAATCTTTAGGTAACAAGTGATCTGAGTTTCAACCAGTAAATTTGATGAAACCTCATCTAAACTATTAACACATGGCATCACTTAATAAATTATAATTTATGGTGTAAACAATAAGATAACCCTTCCCTTCTATTAATCTTTCCCTCACCCATCTCAAGATTCAAATTTGAGGTTGCTAATTAAGAGTTTTAAACTTTTAACCATTAATATAACATTGGATAGAAAATTTAAGGATGAAAATGAACAAAAACAAATGTATAAGAATTAGGCAAAAGGGTATATAGCCCTTATACTTTTTGATTTTATTAAAATCATCCCAAGTAAGCAATGGGGCCCACAGAAATTGAGCTTGCTGTTAGTTTTCGCAAAATGATGAGATCATCGGTCAAATAAGGGCTGATTTGCCGCCATTTTTAGTTGGGGCCCTAATTTGTCACCATGTGAAGAGTATAGGGGTTGATTTACCTTTTTTTTGCCTACTTTTTCAATCATTTCTAATTGCAAACTTTTCGGTTGACCATTAACAAGATAAGTAGGCTTATTAATTTATATTAAAATAATTTAATTTTCTTAAATAACAGATTTTAAATTTAAATTTTATGAATAAAATAATAAATGTTAAGAGAATTTCTTTTCTATATGCTTCTACTTAGTAAGGATTAACTTTCAAATAGGTGTTCAGTAGAAAAAAAAAAAACAACACAACTAACCAAACAGCTCCTAACCGTTTTAAAGTAGCGAGGGACGCCTGGGTAGGACTGACATCTAAACCGAACTGAACCGGGAAGTTTTCTCCGCGTTAGAACTTAAAAGAGAAATGTCAAAGAGTCCCAAAATTCTGTCGAGAGCAACAGAGAGGGCAGAGACCTTCATGAATAGCCCTCCCCCTCTCCATCTCCAAAATTCACAAGAAATAGTAACACTACTTAGCTCTCTGCCAATTTTCTTTCCCAATTCAATCGCATTTTCTTTCGTTTTCTCTCTTACCAATCATATGATTCTGATTCTTTACCATCCCTCATTATCTTCCCTGATCTTTTGATGCGACGATCGAATGCCCGCAGTCGGGTAAATTCCAGTTCCAATTCAAATTCTAGTTCTAAATCCACCGGCGGGGAATCGCCAAAGATGGACCAAATCAAGTTTCAGACTTGCTTCTGGGATTGCTGTGAACTC